CCGTTGCACATTGTGTATGTGTATCGTATCCTAACATACATACCTTACATATGTACCTAGTAGAGGGACGAATGAATTCCACCATCCAGATTTGTCGTACTGGTGGCTCCCGAGTTTGTTTGGGTCGCGCCACCACTGTTCAGCAGCCGATAAGCCGCAGGATGCTAGCAGAATCTACGATGCGATGTATTATTGAAGACTTGTCACAATTTCGCTTTTGGCAGAGAACGCGGAGGGGGAGGGCCAAGTTGTCAGCCTCTAGGTTATTGATGATCGACGTTGAGCGGCCCGAGACCGCGTGACGCCATTCGTTCGTTCTCTTTACGTGGGGGGACAACCATGGCGTATTGCACAATACAAAATCTTCTTAGAGGGCTGAACTGTGAACAGCAGCCAGTAGGTAGGTCAGGTATCGTTTTTGCGAACGCCAAGCCCGTTGGGAGCGCGCCCACCGCGACGCCTCTTCGTCGTATATAGCTTTGTCAGACGACAATGTGCTTATAAAGCTAGTATGAATTGGCACATCATGTAGCTCTCGGCGCGCTATGAGTGACTGAGTACCTAATCTAAACAGGTACCTAAGCTGGGAGGTTAGTATTCTTCGATTCGGCGTGGCGAGAATAGACGAACGAAAGCTGAAGCGCCTCCTTTTTTTTTTGGTTTTTTTCTTCATCCTCTCAACTCGTGTCCTCCAGCCCAGCGAATATGAAGTATGTACTATTGAGGCTTTTCTTTCCTTCCCTTTCCCGTTTGGTTTTAAGCCCGTCCGACGTAGCCAATGGGCATCCCGGCGCAAAAGAACAAACACCTATTTTTGATTGAGGCGGTGAATGCGACCCTCCTTTGCTGTCATGACGTGTCGATCAAGATGTGGTAAATGGACTGCTGCGGCAATTAATTAATATTTCTGCAGGTACGGACGACAATGTGTAAGGTCTCGACTTCAATTCTCTCTGGGATCCTGGGTTTTCTTTTCTGTCGGCTTGTTGTCGTCGTTGCATTCCACGTTCTCTTTCCTTGTCTTCCCGAGCCGAAAGCTTGATAGAAGCTTGATTTATCGTCCATTGATTCGTCAGGATTCGGAAAATTACAAGAAATCTATCTGCGCCTAAATCACCGTGTGATATGAATTGAAGGAATAGTGACGGCCTAGTGATGTATATTATGGCAATTCATCAATACCAATGCGACCAATGCGACACGATTCCTGCTTCGCCAACTCATATGATGTTGCTTGCTTCTTGCTTGATTTTACTCAATTTTTATCATTTGACCTCGAGATTGTTACCGAGTCTTCTCCGCCACGTAACATTGAAAATGTGATCTTGGGGTCAAATGCAGTATCAGCCTTCGGAGCAAACAAGACGGATAGCATTGGGGCCCTTTGGCAAGTATGGCGTCCTGCCTGGGAAGTGCTTGGTCTTCTATCTAAGGTACTAGGCACTTTCCTTTCGAAAAGTCCTAGGGTATTAGGAAATACTAGTCGTGATCAAATTGAGATGTCTAGGTAAAGGAAGAATATTGCATACCTAGAATTGATGTCTGCATGCCTCCTATAGCATAACCTAGGTACTTACCTGTCTACCTGCCTAGTCGTATTATAAGGGATATCCGTCTTCGAAGTCTCTCAGGGAGATCTCCTGTGAAGGGTTGGCCTTTAGTTGTAGTCATGAATAGAGCCGTATGGAGGTAGCAGTAAATCTCATTCTTTGCCTGAAGCACACCGCTTCACATCACCAAGTAGGTTGCTCCCCCCCTTAGTGTTTATGTATCCTCGTCAACCGTCAACCAAGCATCAGCTCCTTTGCTAGCTTATAGGCTATCGGTATCTCTCGTAGCTACCCTAGAGACACTTGGGAACAAACAAGAGGCACTTGATGTAGAATTCAGTATCTTCTTTGTGGTAAAACATCTAGAAGCGGCTCTGCAACTAGATTGCAACTGACAATTATCTGTGAATCATGGTGATATTAACGTCTGCGGTATGCCTCAATACTAGGAAATGCCTTCTATCAGCCTTAACTATGACTTCAATACTTTGAACATGGATGCCAACATGAACGTATCTATTACGCTTGATGTAGCAGTGCGAAGGTCTGGTATATTTCGGCTATCAACAATAGGTGGTATCATGAACGCCCTGAAGCTCCTTTGTAGTAAGTCTTTCTTCAACTTGATGGCGAAGCTGTGGTCATGGTATAGGTTAGCTTGATCCTCATAAAATAAACTTCTTCAACTTCATGAAACTTCACTGTTGTACAACTAGAGTCTACCCACTTCGAAAAGCGATCTCATCATCTCTGTTTGAGTTATATTTTCAAGTGATATCGTCAGAAGCCGTGGGGGGAGTAATCTCTGAGCGACAAAAATAAGGGGCGACTTCCTGTACTCAGAATGCCAGAACAGATAACTAGTTTGCCGATTCTCTGTATATACTCATCTACTGTTAGACATGTCTTGGGCAGGCATTCAACGGTGATCTGGCTAGCGTGGGACTATATAGGAGACTCGATCGCCCATGGCTTCCTATAGGAGTGTCTGTATCTCCTCTATACCGAAACTGACACCGTTATTATGCATAACGTCTCAAGCCTGCCAGATCAAGACTGCATAGCCAGTTATATCAAGTGAAACCTACCCGTTTAGAGTGAAAGCTTGAGTATTGGCCTCTTGATATTGATAATGTTCACTAAGCATGATTTCACGATATATGTTAAGGTTGCTTAGTTTGTTAGGTAAAGCAACACTTAGAATATGTCCTGATGCCGTTGCTCATATTTATTTGAGTCACGCCTGTGAAGGAGTACTGGACGACCTTTTTGAAATTCGACTTGGGTTATCTTAGTCAGGCAGTGAATACTTCGTATGAGAGATAGATTTGAAAATGAGGTATTCTCAGGAGGGTATGGACTTCGAGGCAGTCTTGAGTCGCCCCTACCTATGACATAACATATCGGGTTAAGTTTTCGTGGCTCTATATTGAGAGAGCTTAGGAATCTAACAGATGTATTTAGGGTGTTTTCAAGGAAGAGCATATGGTTCTATAATTCTTCGTGAATCAACTTTGCTGTCTCCTTGCCTTTTGGTTTACTCATGCGACGCTGTCTTTTGATGCCTCATTCTAGCAAGTATAGTCAGTCCTCTTCTCCTTCAAACTTTCTTTGATGTACTAGTCAGCTGTAGCAGTGATTTATAATACAGTTATGAAACTAAATTTGAGCATTTATCCTCATAGACTGACTATAAAAACTGGTAATTAAGGGGTTCCGCTTTTCACACCATTCAAATGATCACAATATAGTCATATATCTGCATTTAGGTATCAATTTCTCACAATTGAGTAGATTCAATCAAATATTATAGTTGTTGAACAGGTTTATTTGTGTTGAGACTCTCCCCCTTCCCCCCTCTCCCACGATTCTCGATTTGACGACTATAGTCTTACGCAGTGGCAGGAGATCCTATTAGTTACCTAGGTAGTATCTGGAGACGGCATCCCCGAGGATGCGGCTAAATCTATATGCAAGTCTGCCATACGACACGTGGATGTGCTAGGGCTTTTTGATTTCTCAATGGCTAGATTACTCTATAGATGGATCCTTACTTAAGTCAATGGTCATCGACACCTCGAAGTTACTGAGGATTAGTAGCATAGGTAGGTAAGCTTCGTTTCCGTTTCGCTTATTGAAACCCAAGTTAATGAATCTCACAATGTACGAAGTCGGAAGGATCTCAATTCTAACAAAAGGTACCTACTGGATATCCCAAGGTTACCCAACAGCCTTAGGTTCGTTTGATCGAGAACAATATTTACATCAAACACGACATAGCCATAACACCAAAAAAAGCAAATTTGTCTATTTAGTCGAATGCTCAACATGACAACCTTGGAATGTTAATCGTATTGAGTACCTAGTAACTATCTAGCAGATATGTACTGATGCCAGGTGCGAACTTTTTCTTCTAGAGAAAAGCTTTTTACGATTGCCGTCATAGCTACTGGTTCGTAATGTGCTTGAGAATATAAAGCCAGCTATGACACCGTATCCGATGATTGGATTTCGATCACTCGAGTAGATGAAATGATACTGCTAGAGGTTGGAGCCAGCACTGGTGCTGCGGTAATATGCTCACCTCCCGTGGGGGGACGAAGTGAATGGAGACACAGTGGCGTCCGACCTCTCGGGATGTGGGGTTTCAACTTGTGTGAAGACGCACACCTACAGCCCAATCAGTTAACGAAAGTGTTATGGGTGTGCGCCTCACGCCGGATGGTGGGACCTCTGCATACCTGATTATGGTGGTCTTTTACCAAAGAGAGCTCTCTTAGAGTGCGTGAGAGCTTTATATGCTGGGCGGCTGCGTCTAGACAAGCCCCTGGAATATTTAGACCCAGATGCTAACCTAAAAATGATAGAGGATCACATGCAATGAACAGGTTAGGATTGGCTCATGAGGATATTTTACACTCATGGGGCTTTTACCTCACGGAGCTATAGATGGTTGCCAAACCCCCTAAGCTTTACACCGTCTGGCTGTAGACGCACCCGCATCATGTATGTCTCATATGCGAGAACAGCACGCAAGTGCTAACAAAAGTACCGGGAAAGAAGTTCGGCACTGCATGTTCCCGGCTACTTTACCCACAGATTAGATCATCACTTTAAAACAATGTCTCATAGTGAGACTCTAGGTGCTTACTAGATACATATCCATAGGTACGGCACGCTTTGCTTTTATGTGCTAGCTTAGAAGGTTAGGTTAGTGGCAAATGGAAATCGGCTCTCCTTGCCCTACACCCACGGGATGTGCCAGTGCCATATGAAGATCTTCCCCTTTATAGTCACATCTGACTAGCTATCGGACCTGTGTAAGTCCTGCAGTGGCATCTATTAGCAGTATAGAAATTATAGTTTGTATACTTCCTCAAATGTTCACCCCTCGTCGATCCATAAGGTACATTATCCGGCGATGAGTTTTGTAATACCAGTAGTAGGGCTAGTAGGGCTGCTTCCCCACCGCTTCCTTTCTTGCTCCTGACGTGAAATGAGGACTAAGTCGAGGTTACACGAGAAGCGTGATCGCACATACATACCTAGGTTAGGTATATGCAAGCCTCGCTGCTAGTGTGTACCAGGTTGGTTAATAGGTAAGCCACTTGCCACTTACCTATCTACCACCTAGTATATGGGTAGGTAGGCGGGTAGAATCTTCTACTCCCCCTTCCACCTCCTCATAATATCCGTGTGAAGTAGAAAGGGAAAAGTCCCCCAGAGCACAGTAACAGCTCTCTATAACCCTCCCCATCAGACGCGATAACGCCGAAGGCGAACAAGTTACCAAAATGTCTGAGATGACAATGTATACCGCCGAAACCCCTGATGATGTCAAGAACGCGAAAGGGCTTCATCTGCTCACCCACAGCACAGGTAACGGCCAAGCCATCCAGACCTTTCTGGAAGAGCTGGCCGATGCCTATGGACTGAAGTGGACGACGACGCTCATCAATATCTACGCCAACGTCCAGAAGCAGGAATGTTAGTGACCTCCCTATTACCTGTTACCTATCTAGAAAAAAAAAAGAAAAGGCGAATCGAGCCGAGGAAATTCTAGAACATTCAAGCTAACAGGTCCACAGGGTACCTCCGACTCAACCCCAACGGCCGGATCCCCACCCTCGTCGACAACACGCAGAGCCCTCCCTTCGCGATCCACGAGACCTCCGCGGAGCTGCTCTACCTCGTGGACACGGTGGACAAGAACCACCTCTTCAGCTTCGAGAGCGCGCAGGAGAAGAGCGAGATGCTGCAGTGGCTGTTCTTCTGGCACGGGTCCGCGGCCCCGTACCTGGGGCAGTTTTTCTTCTTCAGCAATCTTGCGCCGGAGAAGAATGAATGTAAGCTACCTACCTCCCTACCTACTCTGCGAAATGCATTGCTCGAGTCACTGACCCCGTGACAGACACGATCAACCGCTTCAAAAACGAGTCCCTGCGCGTGCACGGCGTGCTCGAGATCCGCCTGTCGGGCAAATATACCGGTGAGCCGAGGGAGTACCTCGCCGGGAAGGGGAAGGGTAGGTATAGCGTGGCGGACATCAAGGCGTGGCCGTGGGTGCAGTACTGGGAGCCTGCGGGTTTCACCAGGGAGGAGATGGAGAAGTTCCCGCATGTGATGCAGTGGATTGAGAGGATTGCGCAGCGCCCGGCGGTGCAGAGGGGCATTGGGGAGAAGTATAAGCAGAAGGTGTAAGCCTTGGGTGGGTATTGTGGGATGGGGCTATGGGGCTGAGGGGTTTCTTGGGAGATATGGCTGAAATGTTGCCTTCGAAAGTTGCAGATAAACCATTTATTTTAGCCGAAGGTTAACTATTAACACATCTTACATCGAATTGGGAGTATATGCAACTCTATCAACTATCATACGTTAAGAATCATAAACACATACATTGCGTGACATCTCTTATCCAGCATTAGAAAAGACCCATCCTTTTTGGATAACCCTAACCTAGACGCCTTGCCTAATCCATCACGTGAATATTACCGAGTTGCCTTGATAGCCTCCTCTAGGATGTTCAGCCCACTCTCAATTTCCTCTTCGCTGATGTTGAGCGGTGGGACGAATCGGAGCGTGTTGGTGCCACAAGTGATCATCAAGAGCCCCCTTTCTCGCGCAGCCTTGATGATCGCGGAGGGATCTTGGGTCAGCTGTAAACCGAGAATCAAACCCTTCCCTCGGACTTCGGCGACTAGGTCGGGGTATCGCTCCCGGATTTGGTCAAACCTCTTCTTGAAGACTTGGGACTTGGAGACGACATCTCGCTGGAGCTTGGGATCTACGAGTTGCGAAACGACGTAGTGCGCGACGCGACAAGCCATCGGATTACCGCCAAAGGTTGTACCATGATCACCAATCTTCATGGTCTCGCTAACGTGCTTGTTGACTATTGTGGCACCGATAGGAAAGCCATTGCCAAGTGCCTTTGCGGTCGTTAGGATATCAGGATGCGCCTCCTTAGGCAATTGGCTGTGTGCCCAGAGAGTACCAGTCCTCGAGAGGCCGCATTGGATCTCGTCATAGACTAGAACGGCGCCAACTTCACGACACCGTTTCGCCAAGGCAAGGAGAAACTCTTCGCTCGCGACGTTTACACCTCCCTCGCCCTGAATAGGTTCGATTATCACACCGCATGTCTTTTCGGTCACGAGATCGTTGATAGCCCCAATATCATTAAAGTTCCCGTACTTAAAGCCTGGCAGCATGGGCGCGAAGGGTGTTTGGTACTTTGGGTTCGGGGTTGCCGAAAGACTTCCCATGGTCCGTCCATGGAAGGAGCCGTGGAAAGAGACGAACTCGTGTTTTGCCCCTGAGGGGTCTACGGACTTCCCGACCTTTCGGGCAAACTTGATAGCAGCTTCGTTTGCTTCAGAGCCGGAATTGCACACGAATACGGTGGCAGCATCATGCATAGCACCAGACTCGAGGGTGCTCTCGACCAGAAGTTGGGAGAGTGCCCCGGTCCAGGGGTTGTAATAGAGGTTGGACGCATGCCATAATGTTTGAGCCTGGTGATGAGGGGTCGGTTTGATCAGCATGAATCTAGGCAACTGAGGACCGACGAGGTCTTTCTCACCTGATCTGAGATGACCTTTACCGCGCCAGGATCACTATGACCGAGCGCATTGACGGCGATGCCGGCTGTGAAATCCAAGTACTTGCGATTTTCCAAATCCCATAAATACGAACCTTGGCCTTTGACGAACACGGGAGGTGGCCGGGCATAGGTTGCTAACATGAACTTGGAATGCTCCTTTACTAATGATGCACTCGCCGAGTCATCTGACGGATCAGGATTTGGTAAAGAAGCCTCGCGGGAGATGGAGTCTTGGACCTTTTGCGACAGGTTGGATGCCGCTGTGGCCTGAGAAGACAAACTGCGCACTCCAATGGATGCTAGTCGCCGAGCAGGAAGTCGATAAGCCATATTACAAGTAGTCTTGAAGCTACCTAGTAGGCAGTCTACTCTACGATGCTATGGCCGTATCGGACAAAGAGGAAAAGAGGAAAAGAAGTCGAAGAAGGTTTGCTGAATTGACTGATCCCTTTAAATACCTATTTAATACCTCTTGGGCACTATCAGCTTATAGGTACTAAGTAGCTAATTAAAGGACAGTCAAATCGACCAATTCAATGATTTATTTATTGAGTATTTATTTGATCCGTTGGAGAAGTTATCAAATCATGCCACCAAAAATTGTCGAAAAATTACAGAAAAGTTTCCAATCAATTGCTACGGATGCTTATCGATAAAGAAGTTAGCCTAAAATCGATCCGATCTCGCATCAAGATTGGCTAGATTACCGGAAAGGGCGTTAGAACAAGAGCCGTATTAAAGATGAGTGCTCTCCTCCTTCCCATATTACCCTACCCCTATTGATTTCTAAGGTTGACATAAAAAAAGTTAACTTTGGTTTTCAAACGAGCTTTTTTCCATTCCCATTCCATTTCCCCCTTTTTATCTTGACTCATCTGAGGGTGCGTTTCTTATGTTAAGCCGATGTCAACCCATGAACCCCCGACATTCTCTCTCTTTCCGCCCCTTCCGTCTCCTTCAAGCTACCCTACCTAGTAGCATATGTATTGAATCAATCTCTTATACATAAGGCTCGGGTTTACTTGTCAGATGTACGTGTACGTTGTTACATCATTGGCACCACTGTTACCTCGAGTGCGCACAGTCATATCCATACGTGTAGATATTTAAATCTTTTCCTGATCAGATACGGATTCTTTATACGAGCATGCATTCACTCAATCTATTCTTCATGATCCAGAATCCAAATACCTGGTACATGTACAAAGTTTACTACAAACACATGTGTCAGTACTAGGTAACTTATGGGGTTACTCCAATTCTCCAACGCGGGGGCTGGTCTAACATTCTTCGGCCCCTGACATGAATAGGTAAGGTACTTAACCTAGGTACATACCTACGATTCAATGTGGGGGAATGCCTGCTGATCACTTAGTGCTCCCGTAAGGCGACTTTCACATGTCAGTCCCTATGTTATGAATCCTTCCTCTATTATTACCATTCTTGACGAAAACGTCACTGGAAAAGCCGACTGGCCCCAGGTTTATCACGAGCCATCATTTAGAACCCTTACAAGGTCCAATCTCATCCTGTCAGCTTCATTGAAACCCACAATGCTTCTCCTGACCTAACGATTCTTATCATTATAGCTCTCGGGCTTATGTCACAAACTGATATCGATTGCTTGTTCCCGACTAGTCTTGACTCTATAACTTGATGGTCTTGCTGAATATCCGAAGTCTCCGCCTTAAGACTTGTTCAAGTACACTCTGTTAGATCTAGGCCGTATTTACCTGACTTCAAGTTGCCATCAGGAGCTATGCTGTAAACCTTGGAAACATTCACGCCTCGCATCGCTTTCCAACAGCAACCAAGCCCTATGGCGCATTTCTAGATCATTTCCTTCTTGTCTCAACTACCTAATATTAGGTAATCTTTAATTATCGTCATTGTACAATATGATAGATCATATTCTCGGCAGACCTTCTGTGAAGTCGCGCAGGCTTCAGGTGCTTGCTGCGCTCACATTCTGGTCCGTCTATTTGTTCAAGTATGGCCCGAGTATATTCACGTAAACAAAAAGCAGCCGAACTAACGAGAACTTCAGAGGCCACCGACACGGCCCTCCCTTAATTCGTTCCTTGTCCAAGATATCTTCCAAGATATTGACAACATGGCAGACTGTAGTCTTTACCATGATGTACCTATACGCCGCCCGGAATTTCAGCACTCTCTTTGGGCTCGCTAGCCCAGAGCCGATGGCGAATATGTACGACGCGAAATATTTCCGTGCAACATGGGTTTTGACCGCTCTCGATGCAGGCTTTTGGACAGCCATGAAAATAAAGAGGAAGTGGATACGAGATATTGCTAGTCTGGTGTTTTCCCTCTTCTACCTGATAGCGGCAGAGCGTGCCGACGAGAAAGTTAGAAAGGTCAGGGGGGCCTTGACTGTTGAACATTTGAGAGTCAGCTGGAACAAGGGAAAATCCCCATATCTGGGAACCCTTCAAAACATAATGCGGCCACGATTCACACGCTGGCCGCCTCGAGCTATTCGCATTCCTCGGCCTAGTACGAGTGATTACAAAGAAGCTGTATCCGGTTGGCTGTACTACGATGGTCCTATTTCGGATTTGGAGCGCATAGACAAAATGATTTTGGATATTCCAGGCGGGGGCTTCGTGGCTATGGATCCACGCTGCAACGATGATAAGCTTTTTGCTTGGGCTGGAAAGACGGGTCTCCCGGTGCTTAGCCTGGACTACAAAAAGGCACCGGAATTCCCGTATCCGTACGCCTTGAATGAGTGTTTCGACGTATACACAACTATAGTTAGGAGTAAGGGGCGATGCATAGGGATGTCGGGGACAACTGTTCCTAAGGTGGTGGTAACAGGCGACAGCGCCGGCGGAAACCTCGCCACAGCCATGACTTTAATGGTAGTCGAAAATGCTACCCACAAACGTCAATCTGCGATCCAAGCAGACCTTCCTGTTCCCGTCGGGCTTGTACTTCTCTACCCTGGTCTGGACATGAACATCGGAAATTGGATGTCTGATGAGCAGATGTCTCTCATCAAAGATCGGCGAATGCGGGCGACGAATAAGGATTATCTGCGTCGGAAGAGCATGCAGTATAATGACTTGGTTGGCACCCCTCATCAATCAGATGATGAAGACGAAGAACCCTCCAACTCATCCTCCGATGTAAAATCGAACAGCTTGGACCCCGGCGCAAACCAGAGCGGACTTCGTAGCCCTCAGCCTGAATACTCTCACGCCAATCGTCAGACGTTTGCAAAATCCGAGCCATCAACAGTAGTCGCGAATGGAAATGGCACAACAATGTCACATCGACCCGAACCTATGCAGACGCGCTTGGCCATGGCGTCCATGATTTCCTATTTCAACGATCGTGTCCTAACTCCTGAAATGATGCGCGCCATGATTATCTTGTATATCGGGCCCCATAATCGTCCGGATTTCTCACAGGACTATTTATTGTCCCCTATCCTAGCTCCTGATTACCTGTTGCAAAAGTTCCCTAAGACGTACTTCCTCACCGGCGAACGCGATCCCTTAGTTGACGACACGGTCATTTTCGCCGGGCGTCTACGCCGCGCAAAGCAAGCGTACTACTCTCAGAACGCCTCGCACGGGATGAAAGGCCTGGCTGACATTACCGACTTCAACGAAAAAGATGTGGCCGAAGTCGTTTTGATCCCTGGTATCAGTCACGGCTTCACCCAGTTCCCCACGTTGTACCCGCCCGCGTGGAAGTTGATTGACCGCTGCGCGCGGTGGGCCGTGGACCTCCTCGACACCGCCGAGACGCGCTCTAAGCGTGAACAGCAGGTCCTATCCTCCCAGCGCCATCAACTGCGCGCTGAGTCCAGCGGCGATGAAGATAAACCGCTAGAGATCAGCATGACGAAGATGCGATCGAGGGCCATAAGCGACGAGGCAAAGGCGAAACAAGGCACCGAACAACCCGCCACCAAGGAAGGGGGTGAGGGTAATAAGTCGAACGGCAGCGCAAAACGCGGAAAGGCCAAGGGGAGGAACGGTTTTGGGCAAAAGTCAAAAAGCTTCGTTAAGCTGGATAGCTCGGATGATTTACTCGGCAGACGCATGCAGGGCCTCGCCGGCCCGCTGACCGGGGCTCATAGCGACGAGGATTAAGTGGTGTTTGATGGGCTTACGAAATGGGCTTGGGCTTCGGTTAGGTGGGATTCGCTGCATTTACTACGGATATAACGAGATGTCCTTCTAGGATATTATGCTTTGGGTGGAGGATTTGACCTCGCGCCATACTTCGTCATTTGAGGACTTTTCCAGTCTGCTATGTGTTAGGTACCTATTTACCTAGGTAGACAAGCAGTACGCGCGACTAAACGCGTCCGCGTCGAACCCGGTCTAGAAACATATCACGCCTACTTACTCACGAATGCCGGTGGCAAGCACCTGGGCCGCTCGAGAACCTAAGCGAGGGGTGGTCCTTGAGCGTGGTCGGCGACCATTGGATATTGACCCAGAAAGACCGATCTATATCCCAGCGCCGAAAAAAGGGGAATCGGCAATTTTAACACCACCCGGACACAGTGTATTGTTTTTAATGAGTATTTTAATCCATGCGGTTAAGATCAGCAACTTCTACCCGACGACAGAAGACGCGAGCGTCTTTTGCAAGTGGGGCCCGGGTTTAGAGCAAGCCAGAACCATACACCGTTATGCTGACTGCGCAATCCTAAACATCCAATGCGTGTGTTGTTGTTTTGTTACCGTGGGCGGGTAGGTAGGTAGTTACTAGGTAAATTATACACCGGCCTACTTAAGTACTTACATATATATAAGTAAATATAATCCCCGAATATTGGTGGACCAATTATGTGCTTCCAGCCCTTTTGTAACAATGCGTAAATGTCGTTCGAGTTGGGTAGAAAAAGTCTAGATGCCGAACTGGCCCAGCCAATGAATTTCCCGGTCTGGCGCAGAAAAGCACGCGCTCGTTGGGTGAAATCCCCTCACCCCTCGGAATGTCGATGGCAAATGTCGGGTGTTTCTAGGAAGAATGGATTTTAGCATGAGAGTCTTGGAATCAAGTTTTAAGTGTGTGGTGAATAATGCTCACACCTTATGTTGAATCCGTGTAGAACCAAATAACGATCTCTGATGGACTCAACCTCGTAGAGACGTTGTTGCTACGATAACACCTCTGTTTGCCTTACCGTAGCGTATTGTAAACCTGAATATATGGCCCATTGATGGACAGGTGAGAAGGACCTAACGACCTACCTAGGCACTTGCTAACTTCCAAGATACCTCCCTCAGGGCAAGGCGATTATACGGGCTTGAAACCTCGCCGAAATCACTGTTTCCGTTTCAAAACCTGAAAGTTTGTGAATGAAAACCAACGCGGACAATGGGAAAAGAATACACAAGTATAGACCGTAGAAACATCATACCAGCCCTGGAGTCCCGGCTCTCCGCCCGCCAGCCCCCGCTTAACGGACCACAGGTCCAGCTCTTCCGCATCAACTCGCCCCCAAAAGCGGCACCGCCGACTCCGACTCCCAAGATGTCTGATTCGGGGTCGGATGAGGGGTCTTGTGGTATGTATACCTGACTCCCTAGCTCCCTACCTAGTCTTCATAAAGCCACACGTGGATACCGAGCACCGAATACTCACACGAAGCGCGGCAGCAGGCGAACAGCAACAACACGGCCCCGCAACCAAGCCCGTCGACGATGTCGTCTTCATGCTCCAGAAACGCATCCAGATCATGCAGTCCATCATCGACCAGCTCCGCGCGTCTATCAAAGAGCGCCAGCACTGGGAGGAAGACGCCAAGACGGCGCGGCAGGAGCTCGAGAGGGCGAGGCGGAGGATCGGGGGGCTTGAGGATGAACGGGGACGGAGGGGCTGTGCGGGAGAGCCAACGCACGACGACGGGGAGCAGCAGCGGGACGCGGAGGCCCAGGAGAAGAACGAGAACTCGGATACTGTCACGAAAGACGTCGAAAGCCCCCGTGAGCCCGGGCACGGCTGCACGAGTCTCGGCGAACCGCTCACAACGTCCCCTCCAGAAACCCAGGAGCCCCGGAACGACACGATCCGCCTCCACCACGTCGTCTGGGGCTCCTCGCCCGTGCTCGACGAACGGCTGTATAAGAAGCTTTCGCAGCACGCCACGGCCGGATCGCCCTTCACCGCCACGCGCGATTTCATCGGCCGGGATGTGGAGCCGGGCGGGAGGAGGACGCTAGTGCTCGCGTACTCGAGACCCCCTGGCGCCCCGGCGCGCTGGCTCGTGGTGGACGAGGGCCAGGAGGGGAGGTTCGGCCCGTAGCGAGGCGAGGATGAGATTGGGTTCGGGGTCTGCCGGATTTGGGTAGGACGCTGGGTACCTAGGCGTTGAAGGGGGTTAGTTGGCTGCGAACCTGGGGGGGGAGGTTGGTGTGGTATTGGGATATTGGGATATTGGGACCTGAGACCGGCGGAAGGAAGATATGTACATGCTCCTAGGTTAGTGGTGGATAATGGCAGTTAGGCGGCCTCTTTGTTGGTTACCTCGTCTTTGCTTTTTCTTTAATGCCCAATTTGACATTGTGATGAGAGAGTGTCTCGGTTCGACGACCTAAACTAGCACTTCTCCGTTTTTGATATGCTATGTATGTATGTGTGGATGTTAATGGTACCCGGGAAGAGGGAGTAGGGCCGATGAGCCCCGTAGGTACCACGGATGCAATGAGGTTGCTAACGAACTATAGGCACTAGGCACTTTATACACCATTGTTAGTAAAAATCGGCGACCATCGTGTTAGCTGCAGTTGTGTAACCATTGATATTCATTCCCTTGCCCCTAAGGCATAGGTACTAACCTAGGGGTACATCTTTATGGTAGCTCTAGTTGTACTTTTACCGTAAGGCTTTGTACGGTTCTTGAACATGTCTATGCTAGAATTTGATACCTAATAATACTATATCTACGCTACTTTGGCTTGAACGTTCGTTGTAGGCAGGTGTATACTATCCAATGTTATAGGGTGTCTCAGATTATGTAATATCCAGACTGTATACTCTCGCTGCCCCTTTCAATAGTAGTCTTATAGGTCCAAGATCAGTAGCGTCGACTTCTTCAGAACAAGGACTTCAATACTACCTATCTAACAGTAACTAGGACCACAGGCCTAGTTTCAGTTATAGAGGTCTCGGTATATTCCACAAGACATGTCACATAAGTCTACGGCATCTTCCTTGCATCAACCTCCACCCCTTTCATCACCCTACGACACCCTCATTGCAGTTTATACATGCCGAATTACTACATGATATATCATATTGGAGTAGGGTAGCCTAGCAAGTTGGTAAGAATCACATCGCTCCCTAGCTGAACCTCCATATAAACTTAGTGTCTCCGCGTCAGGTGGGATTTGGGAACGCCAACGCTGTATCTACCTAGTAACTCACTTACCTGGCAGGTACATAAGACACCTAGGACCTATTACACAGCTTAGTAGTCTACTAGGACTAGGTGGAATGGGTGTCAAGGGGTGTGTGTAGATACTAGAGAGTAGACTTAGACTCGGTGGCATATATCTGTATGTACCTGGTCTGTATTTGTGTTACGGGAAGAGGAAGATCATATCCAAACTAGTCGAACACATGAGCTCGACCAAAAACTGGCCACTTTTCCATTTTCCCCCTAATAATAATCCCTTATAACGGCTCCATTTCGAAGTCTGTTGACGATCTTGTCATGGACTCGCCTAGTGAGTTTGAGGAAGCTTATTCCTTTCTAGATTTTGGTATTAGGCTAGGTATCCACCTATAGTTTATAGCTGTATACGTACGTGATGATAGATAAGTCATTACGATGGATCTATAGACGCGTAGAGGCTATTGAAGTTACCAGCCACAATATATTAACTAAAAGGGTTAGATACCCAGTAGTTAGGTACGGGGCATGTTATCGGTAAGGGAAAGGATGCATACAGACGGCATAGACTTGGCCCTCAACTGGGTTAATAGGATCTGCTTATTGGTGCGAAATAATTGACAGTTGTCGTGCTGCTACACTTTCACCAGGGATTCTACATAGATGTGAGCGAATATCGGATTCGATAAGTCGGCAATGTATATTTTTAGAGGATAACGTGCTTCGGAGTGAACTCCATCTCGACTTTTGCTAACCTAAAACTTGCTAAAGTGCCGTGGTATTGACTGATTTGACCTACCCTAGGTCCCGGGCAATAATCCGTGCACCTCTCTCTTATCATCTACTGTCGATAGGGTTCTCCCGAGTTGATGGTACGACGCCTTAGCTGCCTGCTGTCGCAGCGATCCCGGATCTAAAAGGCCCCGGCGTTCCCTGGATCTTGGGAGAGCGTTACCGGGGGTGCAATACCCGACTTACTAAGATTGGAAAGCTAGGTAGGTATCGTGAGTTTGCAACGGTATACCATTCTGGATGCGAGACCCACGCTGTAATAACCTTAGGCATTCTACCCGAGCGTAATATCAGCCGATTGCTCATGAAGCATTTACTTTACCTTAGGTAGGCACCTACCAAGACACTGACATGGCGCCTCTCTTCTTATGCAATTGAGGCTGCCGGGTTTGATGGCGCGCGGAATATTTGAGCTGAACACACTCCAAAGAACAACGACACCACGCAAGTTCAACACCCTTGTTATTTCGCGATCCCGCGCTGCAGGAGGGTGTGTAGAAACTCCTTCGACCATGCATCTACCAATCGAATAGTCTCCAAGGGGCTTTCCGTTCTCTACCCCCTCTACGCCATTTCAACGGAATCCGTTTCAACTCATCTCCAACGCGCATGGCGGATCAAGCCCCTCCTAGCCGATAGCTCTTTTTTAAGCTCTTTGTAGTTCAAGGGTCCTAGAGCGGATAAATATGGCCAAGATATTAGATAGATATCGATGTGCTGGAATTCCTTTCCCCGGTAGCCTAGCGCCGCTGACATGGGAGGGCTCGGGGTCCTTTCATACGATATATAGCGAGGTTGGAGTGCTTACCCACCTACCAGGTAGGTTAGGTACCTAGACTGAATAGGTATCCCAGCTCACCCATGAAATATCTGAGTCGAAGGACACTCCTACTCCAAAATAACCTAGCTGAAACCTGAGGCAATCGCCTAGCAGACACGCATATACACGGTGAGAATTTAAGTCGGCTAAAGGCACAAAACTTGTGCCAAGCCAAGCCATTATTTGTTAGGAAAACACGCAAAGAGTTGCCAGACGGGGGTTTCACATGTAGTTGTCAACGAACGTCCACTTTTGGTACCGGGTAATTCACAACTCAACCAAGCGAACGTCGGCCGAAACTGGCATATAGCTGTGTATCACACGTCGAAAAAATGATTCGCTCGCCCGGGTTACTAGAGCTGAAAGCCTGGCGAAGCAGATGCTTCCCCCTCCTCGTACGTACATACATATGCATGACACCGTAACGGTTCACAACGGAAGGGGAGAAAGGAGAAGGGAAAAAGCAAAAAGGAGACAGAGCGAGAAAAAGAAAAGGAGAGAGCACGAATAGTCAACAAAGAAGTTGCATTAGTTTTACTGGATGCTAGTGCAAGTTTAGTATGTTCAGGTAAGAGGCTGCCATATACACGGATCATGCAAGTACGACTAGGAATAGAGCCTATTTGCAGTTGCCCAGCATCCGCCGCAAGAACATCCATCCCCATTTGAGCCCTCTCTCTCTCTATCTCTCTCTCTTTTCCGTTCTTGCGCCTCGAGCGAAAGACGAACCACCGTGGATCATCATTACGTAGTATGTAGACATCAAAAGGACATTCCGTCGTTCAAGCCCGTTGCCCGCGACCGCCTCTCAAGCCGGGGCCCCCTTTTTCTTTGCTTTCAACTGATTTAGGTAAAATGTTGTTATTGCTGGTGTTTTTTTTTCTCCCCCTCCCCTCCCCTTGGGTATTCGATGACAAGACAAAATGATGCTGCCCCTCGGAGACACAACATACGCCAAAAAAGTATAAGTGTCCGCCCCCCATCCCCTCCCCCCTAATGATGTATATGTCAAAGCTCGCCTCCAAACCAAAATGAAAAAAAGGGGGGGTTTAAAAAAAAAAAGAAGAGAAGAAGAAGATAGAAAAGAATATCAGTAGTGACAGTAGAGAATAACTTGGTATCGTTCGTTTCGTCTTCGCGTACGTCTGGGGAAGTTCTAGCGTCGGAAAATGAAAAAAAAGCTAAAGTAAAAAAAAAAAACTTTGGTTAAGGGGGAAAGGGGGGAGTTTTGTGTATGATATTAGAGAATCTTTTTCTTTTTCTCCCTGTTTCCCTCCCCCTTCCCCCTTTTAAAATCGCTGTTGTCTACAAAGCATCGTACGTAGAACCTGGGTAATACCGTGGCGATGCGAAGAATGGTATAAAATACAAGTCGTGTGAAATGCGTTGCGGAACGTCTCCAAGAGCGCCTTCGTTCGAAAAATAAAAAAAACAGTCGAGATGGAATAAACGGTGTGTTATTCGCTTGTTCGTTCGTTTGCTCGTTCGTCAATATTCGTAGTCTCGTTGGGTGTGTTTGTCCAATGGATTTGTCTTCCTTTTGGCATCCCAACAATTTTCTCCCCCTTTTACTCCCCCTCCTTTCACCTCGTAACGAGACATTTTCCGCCCGGGTATTGTTGTATCATATTATATTCGCGATACTAATTCTCTCCGTGCTGCGACTTCCTGACGGGGCCCCTGTAGTCGGACTGTTCTTGTTACTCCCAACTTCGGCTATACCGCCCCCTAATATACTTGATCCTGGCTCTACCTTGATCGGTGGTAGTATTTGCGTTCGGGACGTATAGTTGTGTGTTGGGCTAGCCGCTACGGTGGCAAGACTCCTAGTAAGCTCTATTAGAGTATCCCATCCTCCCCATTCGTCCCTCTCTTTAGCGTTCAGACCCGTTCGGTTATCGGTGTGTACGATGCCACCCCCAATGGGCGAAGGAGGCATACCCAACGGTGCCTCACGTTCTGCTCCGATCCACACCCAAGCTGTTTCAGTGCAGGCTTGCATATCCGCACTAACGTATATCAAGAGCTCCTCGTCATGTTGCAAGCGGTCTTGTATAGCCCTTGGATCCGGAATAGCAGCCTGTGGAGGATATCCGGGCGTCGTTGAACGAGGAAGGATTTTGGATAGTTCGCGCTGCTTGGCCCCTAGGATCTGTAGAAAGAAAGACAGAAATCGGCCACATGGAATTACTACGTCTCGCCGCGCGTCGATCGACTTCAGAGCCCTTAGACATGTAGATGCTAGCTCGTAGCATCCCGTAAAGAGTAGAAATAGCGTAGAGCGGAATATGTGCGTTGCGAGAAGCGCTGTAGCGGCGTCAGCCAAGGTCACATTAACGCGTGCGATCAGATTCGCTGTTTCTATCGCCGTCGCTTTGCATTGTTGTATAGCATCGCTTCGAGCTTCTGGGGGGCAGCCCGGCGCAAGGTTGTGACGGTGTAGGAGCAACCGGGCACTAAGAAGATAGCTGAGAGGCATTAGCATATGAGGAGCGATTAAGGAGACGTTGTTAGCCTCGCAGGCTTCCGGGAACATCTTCTGACAGCCGAGGAAGTGGTTATCGAAGGTCGCTAATCGAGGGGGTTCGATCACTAGACTCGAGAAGGCCCTTCTTATGGCGGAGAAAGAGCGGGTTATGTTGATGATGACGTGCATAAAGTGCGTGAGAGGTGCGGCGTTTACAGGATGCACAGGGCCCTCGGTATGGAGAAAATGATCGTCGAACGGCTCGGGAAGAGCCACGTCGCAATCGGAGTCGTCGATCAGAAAGGGGCGGCCTTGTTCCATGGACATCATCCGATCTAGTATGTATATCGCCCACCAAACCCTCCTCCGCATGTCCGCCTCGACCCTCGAGCGCACCCCAGTAGCCACTTCGAGGTGAAGATCCAGATCTTGCGCGCACCGCACGGTGCTTCCCAACCAATTCCAGGCCGCCGATCTCAGGTTTAGCTCATTTAGAGCGAGCGAGATGAGAAACGAAGCTCGGACGTTGTCCAGGTCGAATTCGTTATTCCATGGGTCCGTCAGACTTCGCGCTGCCTCTAGGAACTCGCCCGCCCTTAGCGTCCGATCAGGGAACGGATCGTTGCTAAAAAGACTCCCCACTGCTAGTACCGAAAAGAACATAGATTGCCACGATATGGGAACCCGCTGTATATGAGTAGTATTTTGATAGAGCTCTTCTACCTGATGCTGTAATGTTGGCCAGTGTAGAATCGGTATCATTATGTGCGCCGCCCCGTAATAGGTGTGTAGCAGCTTGTCTACCGTCGCTTTAGGAGGTAACGGCGGTCTAGGGTGATCGAACGGAATAGTAGCCGGCTGTGCCTGGCGATACGGCGCCGGGGGCTTTAGCACGCCTCTTGAGAAATTTCGAAAAGCAGGCCTTACTCGAGATAGGTCCTGTAGTAAAGGGGCTGCCCTTTTCCGTTTCCTAGGCTCAGAATTTAGATCAGGGGGCAGCTGCTGCGGTAGTTGCGCAGCACCTTCAGCGTCAATATCCATGGTATCGCCCCTTTCCGCCAGCGTCCGCCGCAGATTGCTGTTTTCCCTCTTCACCCTTTCTATCTGCTTTTCCAGGTCCTGTACTTGTTTTATGGACGACATTCTCCGGTTCGTCTCCTTCGTAAATTGACACTTGACGTTGCGGCTCGAGCATTCCGAACAGCTCGTCGTTTCTGTAGCATCACACTTGACCTTTCTTTCCCGACAGGCATCGCAGCTTTACGATCGTACAGAGAGTTCAAGAAGGCGAAATATTGGGTTTCCTCGTAACCGCTGACGCAGCCACCGAGAAAACACAATACTCGTCCTCTCGAATGCCCCGTACTCATAAGTCAGCATTGAGTGTCTACGAAAAAATAATAATAATTAGGGGAGGCAACGGAGTTTTTTTTTAAAAAAAAATGATTAGGTATACGAAATAAATCTCTCGTCCGCGGAAAACTCGAACACGCACAGAAAATTCTTACTACCGAGCACACATACCTAGGGTCCTTCCTTCTTTGGCGGTAGGCGCGTTTCTGAGCCGAGACGTTCGCCGATAATTGAGCACTCGAGAGCCCCGGGGTACTTGCTACCGACTCGGTCGGTGGTAGCGAGTCTCGGCCCATCGCAGAATTTGCTGTCACCGGGGTATACGGTTGGAATCCCGACTGAGTTACTGGAGGTAACGGGGGAATTCCTATGGGCTGTGGCGGTTGTGAGGTGTTAGACCTCGCGTTGGGACCCATCAAGTTTCCTAGCAGTTGAACCTGCGGCCGAGGAGAAGTCGCTGAGGATACGGATGACGAGTCATATGACCTTGTAGATGGATTAGGTGAGCGTGGGAAAGGATTGTGCGACGATGCTGCCATCATTAGAAGACTCCTAGGGCCGAGTATTGTTCGAGGTGTGTTTTGGGCAGAGTCACCTCGGGTTAAAGCTCTCCCCAGTCGGGCAGTTTTCTGGGGAGAGTTTACCGCTCAAGGAACATGCAGAAAGCTATGTCGTAATCGTCTTTTCGGAAGAGGCCGGGTATTAGAACAATATCCAAGCACCATTCCACCATGAACCAGCCCTGGGATGATAAACATAGGCGGGTGCTGCTTAAGCTTCGACGGGGGCAAGCGACTTGGAGTTACTAACCCTCGTACCAAAGCCGTGGAGACCGAGTTCAGTGTGCACCTAGAACCACTCCTTTTTTTGTCTGCCTTCGAGACTGACCAGCTGCTTTGTGTGTTGTATATGTGTGTGTGCTTTTTGTTGATGTTGCAGCAGTGTCGTGCCACTAAGGGAGAAAAAAGTTCTAGTTCCAAGTCTTTCAGCTGTCCTTCTTCTCCTGGTGATCCAACCACCCTAGCAAGCTGGCTCCGGCGGGGGACTCCCAAACTACACGGGATGAACAACCGGCTGGAAACAGAGTCTCGGAAGCGCTAAGGCTATTGCGATCCAGCATTTGATACTGCTATTATCTGGTCGGTTGGCGATTCCAGCTAGGACCAAGAGGGTTGAAAAATAAAAAGGTGATTGCCCAAATAGGAAGGGTAAGTCTGCCGGTAGGCGGAAACGATCATGTACAAATGTAAAAGAAGTATAGCTACAATACGGGTCTAATGTGGTGTTACTTGGTACGGACTCCGAGTTGACGGTGCCTCACGGTCAGGGACGACCAGTAACAGGAGAAGGGGAACAAGTTCTGGACAAGGCAATGGTGTGAGGAGAAAGGTGACGATAGCAAACCTATACGCTAGTTGTGTAGACATGCTAGTTCGCAGATGTAAAAAGTAGTTATCCATCTAGCTTCTCCCGCCCTAGTCCGGCGCCAAATCAGTAAAAAATCGGAAATATAATCTGGAGGGGTCAACTGGAATCCTTCTACTAATAACCCCTGTAAATAGCACAGGGAGGGAAACAAGCAGGGCTGTGAACGATGCTCGTCGACAACAGAAGAAGTCACTAACTACGGTGTTTCGAGCTGCGTAGGTGGGCCGCCGGCCTGGGCCCAAGCTTGCCTAATATAAGCACAGGTCGCCATACAGTGGTAAAAATCCTGGGACCTTGCCGGATCAAGGGGGGCAAGCCGTGATGGCGAATCGGGCTATCATTCAGAAGGAGCTTAATAAGGGTTCTATTCTATTCTTGCGTGTATGTTAAAACTACATAGTAGGTATCGTTTACCCCGTCCTCCCCCCTCCCCCCTCGGTGCCTACCTAATTACTAGGTATGTATAGGTAGGTAGTATATGAGTGCAACTGGAAGCGTAAAGGTCCAATAACCTATCAGAGAAAGAAACCCCCTGGGGGACTGATGCTAAATATGAACTAAAGGCTTTCAAGTACATTCATGCGACATTGCTCCCCTACCACGCCTGATGTCGGCTCAACTGGTTTGCCCTGGCCATGTAAGAATCCTGGACTATGCAACCTCCACACTAGAAAGCTGTACCGTAGGAGCAGCTGCGGATTCTTTGTTAGTACAAGGCATCCTTAGGTAGGACTGAGAGGCAGAGTCGGCATTCCTCTCGGTTGTGCCAGGTAGACCAGGGCCCGTTCGGGTGCATGATGTGCATTCGGAATCTAGGAAGTATGTACATAGCCAATACATGCCTACCTACCTACCTACTACTACTACTATGTAGGTAGGTAGTGTGTAGGTAAGTGGCCAGGTAGATAGGTAGTTAGGCAGGTAGTATAAATGTTGTTTTCCTTTTTTTTTTCTGCCTCTTTCTCGCTTTCTTATACCCAGTGTACTTGTCTTGCGCCCTATCCCCAGGCTGGCATTTTTCTTCACCATTACTATTTCTCCAGCCGTAATTGGCGATCTTTCCCCGGTCATTCAGCTACTTACCTGGTAGAAATTCAACTTGGCGACACGCTAAGTAACTAGTTAGCAACAGATGGTGCAGGGCAATACATAATAAAAGCTATGCTATGCTATGTAAGTAGTTAGGTATGCATGTATTTAAGATACGTATTGTATTTGTATGTATGTATTTCTAGGGGATGTTTCCCTGGACAGCGGCAGTGGCCGGTCCGCTGTTTTAGTAGATTCTTGTTGACAAGCATATCTAACCGTTACATATTTTTTGTAGTGTAGTAACAAGCATGGCTATGACCAGAAAGATGTAGACAATCGTCTGTGAGCCCGTGACCCGATCGTTCTTTTTTTTTTTTTTTTTTTTTTTTCTTAATAAAACCTGGCATATGAAAAGAGGAGCGTCCCACCGGCGGACAACGGCTCACGACAGGGTAGAATATGGTCACCAAGGAATGCTAGTTTGAAACGTACCAAAGATCGAGTGCTCTCCGTGCTCATGCCGATGTAACCTGATCGCTTGGTTGAGCTAAAACCAATAAACTCCGAGGTACTGGACACCTAGGTGCTGGGAGCTGCCGATTCCGACGACTTTGTTCTGGATACGCTTGTTTTCTCATCATCTCTCGTTTTTTGTGTTTCTTTTCCCTCACTGCTGATCTTTAAATGTTCGGGGAATCTGACGGGACGAATGATCGGGCCTGTCACAAAACTGGTTGCAGCATTCTTCGAGCTTTGTGGCGTTCCCGTGGACCGTGGCGGTTCCAGTCCAAAAAGAAGTGACTATCTACACTACTACCTAGATAATCCCTAGCTCGCCCCTCCATATTTCTTGAATGAGTTAGTCATTCCGGGACGATCTGATCATATTTAACGCACGTTTTGCTCTGGTGATAGCCTTAAGCACCTGGGTAGTTTACAAGGGGAAATGCCCTTTGGCCTCGGCTGTACATACATACTTACATAGTAGTAATCGATGCAATCTTGGCTGGGGTTGATGTGAACATGGGGGAACATGCAAGGTGCCGCAAAGAGATCACACTATGATACGTAGCCCGCATAGTTGTCTGCTAGAGTTGGGACCACCCCCCCGTCCGCGCGATGAGGAACGATTCCGGACAGACAAGGGGATGGTGGAGTTTTCCGCTCGAATGAATCCAGTTCGAGTTGATGAAGGGGCCGAATAATGCAGCATGTTTCGATACAATATCCCATGATCGCACGAGGTCTTTCTTGTTTGTCATGCCCGCATAGAAGGTCGACATTGGATTGATTTTTCATTTTTTTCCCTTTCGGTTACAAGCAAGATACCGCGCGAGCGACCGACAGATGATAAGCTCATTGAAGCTCTACGTGCATATCTTGAGGTAGGTAGGTGTACTTGTACAGCAGATAGGTACTGACATGCATTTACTCATCCTTCTCCTTACCGGGTTTCCTCCCTAAGAACTGTGCCACCTGACAACATGAAATTCATGAATATGCACATGAATAGGTACGTACATACTTACATGCAACTGATGGTTTTCATAAGCAGCTACATAATGATTTCAGTCTTCTTGAGAGACATTCATAGATGCATATCAAAGTTGAGATCTAGGTAGTTGGTATACCTCCTAGCTATAAGACAATGCCACGCAGGAATGTCAAATATCAGGAATAATGAAAGTACAGTTCAGACACATTGAGACAAAACCACCGCAGATTGTAACATTGCTAAATATAAATCATCGAAAAGCTCACTGGTCGTATTCATAAGGAAAGACATTGTCTTGAATCCTCCATCTCAACATAAGGAAAAAATGCCGAATCTATAAATAAAATCACATACCTGCCTCACTTACTTACCTACCTACCTAATCAATACAGTCAATACTCCTGAATATAGTACCGAGCAGCCTTGCAATGGAGAGAGCTCCTATGAAAAGCAATTCATTCGAGACAAAAGTTACCCTGCCCAAAAGCCAATGCCTACAAGGTACCTAGTTTAATAACAGCCTTAGACTTAGAACCGTAGATCCTCTTAGATTCCTCATAGCCTCATGCTAGGGGAAATAGGAAGTTCATGGAGTCTCTTCACCGAGCCCTATTTTAAGGAAGAGTAGATGCCGTACAGTGGTTGGATCGGAGCCACGCGAATAGGTGGTAACAGACTCACCAAGTTAAAATAGCGAGGAGCAGGGGTGTTGCTAGGCTGCGAAGCTTGCGGAAGATCTTCAGCAAATCGAACAATACCTAGCACCGTTATATGTTATAAGTCTATCAATCAGATCATTAGAGATCTGGACACCACCTCGACCGCTACCTGCTAAGCATGTAACTATAGTACATCCCACATTACTAGGTACTCGTGACCATGGTTGATAAAGGGTTGGATGATATGGCATTCTCGAATGGGCGGGTGATCCAAGGAAACGGGCTGGGTACCTAAAATATTGAACCACGTATCGACCGCTGATTGAGTTGGTCACGCCTGATGACACGAATGTTGCTAATCAACGATGGCATCGAACGGCAGTTGGCAAATGAGTAGCAGTAGGTTGGCCAAGTACCTATCGAGATCGTCAGGGGATGAGGCTTATACATACAGTATATACAGTAAGGGATTAAATGACAACGAATGACAACGCCTTTTGAGCAAGGTCGCAAGGTCACAAGGATTCACATCAACAAGTCCCTGTGTGTGGTTGAAGACCGGACGCGCTCGTAAGTGACAGATTTCGCTTATTCACCTTGTCCATATGTAGGTCGTCGGGCTGGATTGGATTAGATTAAATGTACAGTATAGTCAGTACCGTGGTAGGCTGTAGCATTCAGGGCGTAAACATATGTAGCGTAGGTATGTAGTTGCAAATCATTGGTGCGATTGAGAACTACAAGGTAAGTAGGTAGGAATTAAGTAGATACATCTCTCGGTGAAGATACGGAGGTGTAGATGTATAGTATCAATACTAGATATGTACAAGGAACTAGGTAGTATGATAGTACCTAGTATGAAATATGACAGGCGTGGGAGAGTCAGCAATTCATCCACATCCATTGGGAGAAAAATGATCTTGACATTGTTTTCTCGGCAGGCTTCCTTATAACTTCTGGGGTTCTCGGTTTCATCCTTGCGCCGCATTCTATTGTTTGCTGCGGGAGACAAAAGATCCATGTAAATATG